TATGGACTCGGAAACCGCTTAACCGATCTCCTTGAAATTTATACCACGTAGTCTATACATATAAATGGCCCTGAGTGTCTAGGCTACTTTTTATCCAGGAAAAATGCCTATTTCCTGTGGGATAGATCTGAAGCGTAAAGCTTGAGTTAGTTTGGGTTAGTTTAAAACAATTGTTTTAGGGAAGGCTTAGCAAAGCACGTAGGATACAGCTACTACACAATAACAGAAGGGATAGGTATACCTTGTATTGGAAAAAATTAAATTCCGAATAACAGTTTACGTGGATTGCTTGCTAACTTGGCTTACTACATCTTCCACTAATTATTCCTGGTTTGCAAACACCCACTGACAATGAATGCTAAGCAATATGCATAGCTAACCCGTTAAACCTATCTTCACTAATAGATCTCTTCTCAACCCTTACTTCTAGATTCCTATTTACAATTAAGAAGAATATGGCGGCGGGACCTCCATTGTCGCCAATGTCTGTAAAAGTTTATTGAGTCTCTGTAAAGCTTTCGCCAATCAAGAGAGTGAAGGCGGCATGGGTGGATCAAATAATTTCTAACAAATGGTAGCATTTTTAAGATTTTTTTCAAATTGTAAAAATTTCACAAAGCTTTGTGATTACAATAATATTAATGGTAATAATAATTAAACATTTATCACTACACTGAGTTGATTAAATTTATATTATTTTTTTTTTTAAATTGATAATCTCGAGGGGGAAATCACCTAGGAATTTAAGTACACACGCGCAAAGAATTGCGAAGAATTTCAAGGAATTGCAAGGAGGTTTGAGGAATTGCTAGGAATTTTGAGGAATTGCGAGGATTTTCTAGGAATTGCGAGGAATTTCAAGGAATTTCGAGGAATTTCAATGGTTTGCGTGGAATTTTTATCACTTTGAACCTAGAAAAAATGTTCAGTGTTGCCCAACTTTGTCCAACATAAAAAGGTAAAGTACTTGGGTATCATTTTATAACTGCTCCAGACAGAATACCGGAAGCCATGATTATATACTTTATATTATGTAAGCCAAAAAAATACTTTGCTTTAGTAATTATCACAGAGTGTGTTCATAAAATGAAGAGACATTTCCAAATCCTCGTTCAATTCTTCGCCAGTGATTGTGTGATTAAAGATTTAGCTTATGCTCAAAATACAGTGATACACTCTCGGATACACTTTCATAGGTACATACATTCATCCTAACGTGCTCAAACCTCGTTCCCTTTCTCTCTTAGTTTACCAAATTCTGGCAACGTTGCATCGCTAGTCATTTTTCATGAATTCTAACCTCAAAACCAGACCAGACTTGCTTTTACGTTGAAGAGCAGCTTATTTAAAGAATTTGAGGTATCATCAAAAATTGTCGTACACAAAAACTCAACAGCACTGTCATAAATGGACATTTTATTAACGTGTCAAGTTCGACCGAGAGTTTGACTACGACAAGAAAAGCATTCCTAGAAACTCTCATAGATGTTGCAACCAAAAACAGTGAAAATAAACAGAATATACAGGGTTTTCACTTAGTGCGATATCGGACGATATCTTCTTACAGGGTGATGCAAGAAAAAAAAATTAAATTTGATACTCTAATATGCATTAGTTAAAAATATTTTTGAATATACAGGGTGCTTTGTTTATGGGGGTATGCGACCAAACTTTGTTTTTTTAAATGGAACACCCTATATGTCATTGCATATTTGGATTATACGTAAAATTCTGAGCAGATTTCATGTAATATACCCTATACCTAAGTGCAACTGTTTTGGAAATATTGACAGTTGACAATTGACTTTTTGCAAATTTGACAGGCTGTAAAACATAAACCAGTTAACTTTAGACGAAAACCGATTTTACATTCACATCTTAGATTTTTATAAACTATCATTTGACACCAACCACCGGTTAAATTCAAAGTTGATGTCAAATGATAGTTTATGAGAATCTAAGACAGGAATGTGAAATCGATTTTCGTCTAAAGTTAACCGTTTAGGTTTTACAGCCTGTCAAAGTTGCAAAAAGTCAATTTTCAACTGTCAATATTTCCAAAATAGTTGAATTTAGGTAAAGGGTTTATTACATGAAATCTGCTCAGAATTTCACGTAGAATCCAAATATCCAGTCACATACAGGGTGTTCCATTTAAAATAATAAAATTTTGTTGCATAACCCATTAACAGAGCACCCTGTATACAGGGTGAGTAAGTAAGCGCGCGGTGGTCCATATCTCTTATGCTAACAGAGATAGGAGAAAAAACTAAATACAAAACTTGTAGATAAACATGAGTACTACATTCCTAAATTATTTTCCAGTATACATGGTGGCCCAACAAGTAGTGGTGATACAAAGTTATGTTTTTTTTTTAAATGACTCCCCCTGTATATCATGACATTTTTGGATTTTATGGAAAATTCTAGACATATTTCATGTACAATGCCATATACCTATCTTCAACTGTTTCGGAAATATTAACAGTTGAAAATTGACTTTTTGCAACTTTGACAGGCTGTTAAACCTAAACGGTTATAATTTTAGTGAAAAACTGATTTTACATTCCTATCTTAGATTTTCATAAGGTAACACCAACTTTGAATTTAACCGGAGATTAATAATTTAAGCGGAATTTTTCATCATGGATTAAATTCAAAGTTGGTGTCAAATTATTGATTATGAAAAACTAAGATGATCGGTTTTGCTGTAAAATTAACTGTTCAGGTTTTACAGTCTGTCAAAGATGCAAAAAAGTCAATTTTCAACTGTCAATATTTCCGAAACAGTTGAAGATAGGTATATGACATTATAGATGAAATGTGTCTCCAAAGAGACATTTTTAATGAAATGGTGATTCCTCTTACTTCTTCAGAGTCATTTGTCAAGCCATCACTTTTGTTTTTCCCATATTCATTTTCGGCCCTATTTCTTCTAATGCAGGCAAAATGACTAGTCGAACTATAACTCTTCGACAAGCCAAAATATTGGATAAGAAGAATATTGTTTAAAAATAGTGTAGGAATTATTCAAGCTGCATATACTTACAGTGTCACGCGTCCAATAGACAGGTGTCCAAAAAAAAAAGACCACCTGAACAGCATATGCCACTACCATTGTGACGAATGCCGATACATCTCCAACCCTTTTCCATTATTCGGCAGTGCCAAAATAAGTGTAAAACTTGCCACAATAGGGTAAATAATGCCACAGGATTGAGATTTTTGTGGGAAAAATGCCCTCTCTTCATCGTATGAAACGTTTTCAAAGACGCCGAATTTATATTGTAAAAATACCTGGACCTTTACCAATACCAAAAACATTATCAAAGGTTTTGAAATCTTTTGTTGCTATTATAAAATAATCTGACATAGACAATCTTATTTTTTTTTTGCTCGAATTAATAGAGAATAGAGGCCTCAAAAAATTTATATCGCTACAGTTATAACTGGCCGATTAGGATCTCTTCTATAAAAAATATACTCCCACAAAGAAAAGAGTTTTTATTGACCCTAATATAATCTGATTAAGGCCAAACAAAAAAGTAAAGTTTTGGTTGGCGATGGATTTTTATAAATTCCCACGTGGAAGTAAAACCATATCACATTTCCTGAGTTCCATTGTAATCAATTACAGGTGACGGACGTAATTGTGGGGTTTGCTATCCAAGGTGCGAAATGGTGGACTGTGAGAGAATGATCAACCCCTTTTTCCTGATATCAATTTCGTTTTTGAGGTAAACAATAATTTCAATAGAATATAGGCAATTATGTGATACCGTTTGGGGTTTGGTATCATAAATAATGTGTCAGACATAGTGATATATTTTCACATAAAAACAATTCAGAGTTGATAAATCAAAATTTGCTTAAAAAGCTTTATACTTGGACAGATGCTAAGGACAAGTATAAGAAATAATAATGAAGGAAAGAATATTGGAATTTTCATAATATAACCCAACAAAAAGTACCTATACTTTGTCATCGTTCACCCATCGATATCGATTTTGATTCAAAGATACTCCGAATCCACCCTTTATTTGTACAAAGCGAAACGTGATCGCCCGGTGGCATGTGCCAAAATTTCTCGAAAACACCAAATGGTACCGTGAATCTCGCACCTTGCGCAGATGTTGAACCCTTTTTCCATATTCATATTGCACCCAGAAGGAGGTATCAATGGCACGTCGATTATATAAAGCATTTTAATAGACGTTTCTTCACTTCAAAACGGTTCCGCGGTAACTAATGTGTGTTATTTAAAATTCCCAGTATGAAGTCACAAAACGAATGGTCGAAAAACAAAGTTTTGATATAATTTTACTGATGAAGGACGCCCCGCAAAGACGTGTGGCGCCTGTGGTTTTTCGGAAGGTTCTTGAGCTAACAAAACCGTTTTAAAAGGAATGTTTACTGTGTGGTTGAAAAAGGGTGTGACGTTGTTTTAGCACAAAAAGATTTTTTTTTTGTTTGAACAAATTTGAGCTTGCAATTATAAACTTTCACGCATTTAATATTAAGCTCGAAATTATGGTTATATGGCTAATAAAGCGTTTTTAATATAGGTTGCATTCCTCGTATATTGGCAGCCTAATTAGGTTAATGAGATTTCGGTAGTGTAATGTATAACTTATCAACAGCGGGTAATTAAACTGGAACATTGTAAGCCAAATAATGTCATTGGTTTTAGTTGCAATGATTAGCAATTTTGACGTTGATATTCGGGAAAATGTAGGAAACACATTCTTAAAGAAAAGTGATTTTGAAGAGAAAGTAAAACAGCACTAAGGAAATACATAGAGTCACTCTTTAATAAGTTGCAAGGCAAAGTTGAAGAGCATCCAGCTATATTCTATTAGTGCCCCATTAGGCTAAATTCACTTGAAACCACGTTGTTCAGCTGACACCCAACAGCAAATCATAATTCAACCATTTCTCGCCGGTATTCGGTAGTGCCCCACTGCTACACTTATACAAATCTCTACACTTGGAATATGCTGCTCAAATCTGGATGCCACTGGCTCAATGTCATATAAATCACATTGAGATTCCTGTATGTTAGGCAAAATGGAATGTACCCGTTTTTTGTCTCATATGGGGCAATGCTAAATAGTTTCCATATTAAATCCCTTGTACAAAGAAGAAATGAACAAGTTGTGATATTCATATACTATATTGTCAATAATATAAAATACAAACATTGTAATTTTATGGATTTTAGGGTACCTACCTAAAGTTAACTTAAGGATTCTTAGCATAGATATTTTTAAAACTATAGTCAGTATAAACTATTACTCTAAATAAAATGATGGAACAGTGCTAGCCTCTCTCAGTTGATTGGTTTAATATCTTAATCTGTGATTGTCACGATTGTGTAATGTTTCCTTGTTAGAATTAAAAGAATTTTATCTATTTACTGTGTATGTCTTTTGTGTTAGTTTTAAGTTCACATTTATTGTTTATTTTACTCTCTTTGTTCTTTTGTCCTCGATTTTATCTTTGCTTTTAACTACCTTCATGGTGTTTGTGAAGATGTATCAACAAGTAAAATAAAATAAAATAAATTAAAATAAAAACATGTACATACAAGGAGAATTACTGAAGGTAATTTACTCAAATCTCATTAATACTGCAGCTTTACTATCAATCAGTATTCGCAATTGTATCCTACCTTATCTCCTTCTTTGTCTTACTCATACTATCAAGTAGGCCTTGAAATGTTATTTTCATTGAAATTAAACTGAAAATAAGTTTCCATTGCCTTATTTTGGAAATTTTGATATTTATAATCATTATTATTTAATTATTTAACAGCTTTTTAATAAAATTCAAGCAAAAAACCATTATTTTTTCAACTCGAGATGTAGCTATGTGGCAACGTCGCTTTCAATAATAATTTTCCACTTTTAACAGTCAACCATCGTTTTTATCCATTTTTTTTTCGAATTCTCCACTTTTTCAGGGCTTTTTCGATCGGGAAAACCTATTCAAAGTGCGAGGCTTTGAATTTCCTTTATTTTCTGCCAAAATGTCCGCTTTTCAATGGGGTAAGTAACGAAAACTTTAGTTTTATCAAGTAGGCTTTGGAATGTTTGTAGTTTTCGTTGATTTTTTTCTTCAAATTTTCCGGCATTTTGAATCCGCGTCCTTTTCTGTCACTAGATGTACCAAGCACCTAAATTATATTCTACTTTATTTCTACCTTTATCTATCTACCTATTGCATTTCCCAAAAATGGAAATTTGTTATTTTTCTAGGCAGCAAATTCATCGGAAAATGGGGAAAAATCTGTGAAAACATTCGGCTCGAGATTCTAATTGTGGCAAAATCGCTTTCAATCAAGTGGGCTTTGTAATAAATGTCATGTACCACTTTTGATAGTCGGCCTTTTTCAGTGTTTTTTTTTTTTTCAATTGTTCTCGAATTTTCCGCTTTTCCAAGGCTTTTTAAGTCGGAAAAATTGATATAAAGTGCGGGCGTTCGGATATTCTTCAATTTCTCAAATTTCTGCCAAAAATTCCAGCTTTTAAATGCTGAAATGGAGGTGGGTAAGTGAGAAAAATATATTAAAAAACAACCTTTTTTGAGGAATTTTAAGTTTTAAAATCATTATTAAATAATTATTTAAGGGATTTTTTTAGTAGATTGCACATTTTAAATGATTTTTTTAGGTGGCCAACACCGCTTGTAGCCAACTTCACTCAGGTTTCAATCGAGAAGGCCTTGGAATCTGATTTATAAAGCCTGAGAGTGATATTTGACAGACGATCAATGAGTGATGCATTTTTGTTCTTGTCCCGGCTTTTTCTAGAATTTTCCAGTTTTCCGGGACTTTTCGGGAAAAGTGGTTTTAAAGTGCGGGGCTTTGGATTTGCGTCATTTTCTGCCAAAAATTTCCAGTTTTCAAATGGGGTAAGTAACGAAAACTTTAGTCTTATCAAGTAGGCTTTGAAATGTCATTTTCGTTGTTTTTTTTTTTTTGGATTTTCCGCTTTTCCAGGGTCTTTTTAAACGAAAAAAGGTAGTTTCTTACTCATTATAATCACTGTTTTTTCCAAAAATACAATCAAATTACCATTAAAAATGGAAATATGTTACTTTTCCAGGCTGCAAATTCATCGGAAAATCAGAATAAATCTGTAAAAACATTCGGTTCGAGTGCAATTGTAACAACATCGCTTTCAATCAAGTAGGCATTAAAATAAATGTCATTTGTCACTTTTGACAGTCGGTCATTTTGAGTATTTTTATCCAATTTACCTCGAAGTTTTACGCTTTTCAGGGCCGGTTTATCAATCAAGGGATAACTGGCAGAGTTTGCTGACCCTAGGTTTATTCTAACTCTGGGCTAATTACCTAAAGGTATTTTCTATTTATTAAGTCAGTATTCACAATTGTATCCTACCTTATCTCCTTCTTCGTCTTACTTATATCAAGTAGGCCTTGGAATGTCATTTTCATTGAAATTAAACTAAAAACAAGTTTCTATTGCCTTATTTCGGAAATTTTGATATTTTTAATCATTATTATTTAAATATTTAACAGCTTTTTAATACATTTTAAGCAAAAAACCATTATCCATTATTCAATAATAATTTGCCACTTTTGACAGTTGGCCATTTTAAGTTACATGTTTTCGTTTTTATCCAGTTTTTTTTTCGATTTCTCCACTTTTTCAGGGCTTTTCCGATCGGGAAAACCTATTCAAAGTGCGAGGCTTTGAATTTCCTTCATTTTCTGCCAAAAATGTCCGCTTTTCAATAGGGTAAGTAACAAAAACTTTAGTTTTATCAAGTAGGCTTTGGAATGTAGTTTTTTTAAAAAAATTTCCGGCACTTTGAATCTGCGTCTTTTTCTGTCACTACATAGACCAAGCACTTAAATTATATCTTACTTTATTTCTCCCTTTGTCTTCTCATTTATAATTGCAATTAAGTGAATCCAATTTCATCTCCTTCTTTGTCTTACTCATTATAATTACTGTTTTTTTCAAAAATACAATCAAATTAGTCTCAAAAATAGAAAATTGTTACTTTTCTAGACAGCAAATTCATCGGAAAAGGAGGAAAAATCTATAAAAACATTCGGTTCGAGATTGTACTTGTGGCAACATCGCTTTTAATCAAATAGTACAAGTACAATGTCATTTGCCACTTTTGACAGTCGGCTGTTTTGAGTGTTTTTATCCAGTTTTCCTCGAATTTTCCGCTTTTCCAGGGTTTTTTCAGTCGGAAAAACTGATTTAAAGTGCGGGGCTTTCGATTTTCTTCAATTTCTGCCAAAAATTCCAGTTTTCAAATGCTGAAATAAAGGACGAAAGGTTTATTAAAATTTATTAAAATACAACCTTTTTTGGGGAATTTTAAGTTTTAAAATCATTATTAATTAATTAATTAACGGCGTTTTTAATAAATTACATATTTAAAATGATTTTTTTAGGTGGCCAACACCGCTTGGAGCCAACTTCATTCAGGTTTTAATTGAGTAGGCCTTGGAATGTGATTTATAAAGCCTGACAGTGACATTTGACAGTCGGCTAATTTGAGTGATGCGTTTTTGTTTTTGTCTCGGCTTTTTCTCGAATTTTCCAGTTTTCCGGGACTTTTCCAGCTTGAAAAGTAGTTTTAAAGTGCGAGGCTTTGGATTTGCGTCGTTTTCTGACAAAAAATTTCAGTTTTCAAATGGGGTAAGTAACGAAAACTTTGGTCTTATCAAGTATAGGCTTTGGAATGTCATTTTCGTTGGTTTTTCTTTGGATTTTCCGCCGAGAATCGGGCCTCTGAATATAGAAATAAGGAGTTTTTGAGCTAAAGTGAAGATTCTGACCTGAAAATGAGCGAGTTTTTGAACTAATCTGTTAAAATTCTGAATTGAAAATGAGTAAATTTTCCAACCATTTATTGATAACATGTAAAAGATAAAATTTTGCGTTGTTGAACCTTTTTTCCCAACATTTGAGATTTTATATGCATTGTTTGGTACTGCTGAAGTCCACCTACGTCAGCCGAAGGTAAAAAGTGGTCCTTCTCAGGCGCAATAATCAGCATGCTCAGCACATGTATTCATTATCTGCTATTAGTTACGTCGTACGTTACGAATTGGTGTGCAAGCGCCAACTCACTATTAAAAAAATTTTAAGAAATAATTACTGGGATCGGCTTTCTTTGTGCGAACCCGTGAAATTTTAGTTGGTACTACTTTTTTCTTCTGTCGCATTAATTAAGGAGAGAATCTTAATATTCCCCAAGTCAACAGTGTTGTGCATCGAAAAACATTATTTAGGTTGACTACCTACCCTTAAGGCTTTGTCTAGCTCGTTGTTTGTCTTCCTTGAAAGTAGAGCACTTAAGAAAGCGCCTCTTTTTCTTAATTGAAACACAAATATTTGTGTGTTTAGACTTTTGGAATCGGAAATATTATGTTTCTTTTTGCGAGAAGTTCAATCAATTCAAGGTTAGATTATATTGTTTTCTAAAGCTACTAATGCCAAGTTTTGTTCAGTATTCGGACATATTCATATTAAACGTCTTAATTTTGCACGTTTTTGATGATTTTTCTTAAATTTTCCTATTATTCTATCAACAGTTTTATCATTTATACAACAAAACTGAATTTTTCCTCTGCTTGGCTTAGATTTCTCACCTTCCTTTAAGAACTTTTCTCAAAATCAAAATCAAATCTTGTTGCCTTCACTCTTCATCCGGATGTGCACCCTCATAAATACTTATTGTAAAAAACCCTAGCAAAAAAACCTCAAGCACATAATCAAGGGATTAATTTACATCACAATACATTTTAAACCAAAAATCCAACTATAAGTTTAGGTAGGCAAAAAGTCGACTTTGTATTGTTTGGTACCGCTGGCCGGGTACTCATTGATTTACAACCAGTCGCTTATTATGCGGTAAAGCACCGCTTACCTCTTTTTAACTGCTTCCAGAGGCTGGCTGGCGTGTTATTAAAACAAAACTCGATAATATTTTCATCCTGCGGGGCAGATGGATACCTCAAAGTGTGTCAGGAGGTGTTGATGTGCGATCAGCACCCTGTTATTAGACAAACACCTTCGCAGGAAAGCGAAAGTCTTTGTTTTTTTTTACAAGCTCCAAGCGTTCACTCAGCATAACTAACTAGGACGAAAATTTATCTTCAATAATTTCATGTGGAGATCAACTGAGCTTCCATTAAAATTTCTGGCTTTGAAGTTAAACGAACAAAAGCCCCTGTATATTTAGCGGCGTTATTTAATGACCTTTATGGGGTTTTCAGTCATTTGCAGCTTTATGGGGGGCCCTGTTGGGTTTTGACTTCTTTATTAGGAAAAGGATTTGTTCTGACAAAGCAATTGGATCTTATTTATTGGTTGGTGGATTATTTTTATTTTCCCACAGCAGGAATAATTATTTATTTCCTGCTTGTGCCATCACATCAAAATTAGGTGTCAAACAATTTACAATACTCAAAATAATTACACCAAAACACATGCTATTTTCTCACCCTATCAAGGGGGTTAATATTTTGATAAAATTTATTTCAGGCATCATTAAACTCTAAAATATTCCATTTCCTTTCTTCCCCTTTTGCATAATTAAAGAAATGACTCACATTTTCTGAACTTATTCTACTTCACTTGGCCCAGCAAGAATAGAGAGTACTCGATTTTCAAAACAAAAATAACATAATCGGCTTTTTTCAAAAGTCTTTTGCTAGTGCCTACTTGACCAGAAAATGGAAAAAAGCACCCTTTTCGCCTAATTTTATTCAAAAACTTTCGCAAACATACATAATAGGGCATATAGAATTTCAAAGGGTTGGCCCGTACCATTATTTGGCACATTTTGCGTAAGGGTTGAAATTTCTATTATTTTCTTTTTTCAAAGGGTCTGTACGAATTTGCACAATGCTCGGGACACTCGCCCGAGAAATGAAGCGTGAAACATGGGACTTGAGTGGTACTGCTTGAAAGGAGGTATAATACTTCAAAGTTGTTGAATTTTTGGTAAATAATACCAAAGAAAAAATGCAAATTTTTCAAGGTCCAGCTTCCTCTATTAGATATAATTTCCATAGAATAAAGAAAAATAATGTTTTCCTGTATGTTTGAAAACCCATGAAGGAACTCTCAACACCTTTTCTAAAACGTTTTGTTACGTTATAAGTACGACCTATTTTACGTCAAAGAACAAATTTATTACCATCTGCCCCATCAGCAAAAACATTTTTACTTTAACTGGTACCCATTAAAGTATAATACCTATTGCATTTTCTTGTTTTGGTATCACCTGGCTACCAATCGTCATAATATTCATATTGTTTTTGGTGCAAAAGTTTATAATAATCACTTAAATATCTCTCTGACCTATTTTTATGGGTTCAAAAGAGCGAAAGGTAAAATGAAGGCACATCTGCCTGTACGTGTTTTATTCAACTGGTGTCATTAAAGTATTGCATTTTCTTACAACCATCACCTGTTTGGTAGATATAACGCAAAACCCCATAATAAAGTGCGTCTGGCACGCGTTTAGGTGCCCTTTTCTTCATCAGAAGGGTGTAGGTTTTTTTTTAAATAAAGGTATAAGATCTAGTTACGTTTTGGCATATGGCACACATCGCACATGCCGTTTTTTGACCTAGATTTTTTTCAGGTAACTGTAAAAATCTTCAAATTTAATAAAATATTCGTTTATTGAATTACTTTTCTGCGTCTTGTTTTTCCTCTTCATTATTCCACGCTTGCACCTTTGCCGTACCAAAAATGTTAAATATCGTAGCTGTTATTACGCACAATCCTGCTGAGATAAAGAAAACATATCTCCAATGTACTGGATTAGTCTAAAAAAAATTATTATAAGTATAAATTATTATAAGTAAAATTTCCTTACTGGATCAGTTACTACAGCTTGTACAACTAAAGGAGCAATCACTCCAGTAAACTGACTCAATCCTCCCAGTCCCATTATAGCTCCTGCATGATTCGGTGACAAGTCCATTGAGTTGGGACTGAATCCGGCAAAATGGAAAGCATTAGTGCTGACTGCTGCTATCAACAATGCTACTCCTCTAATAGGTTCATCAGAACGAGTATAGCCTAGGATTACTAAAGCTATTGCTGGCAAGTACATACCAAAGGAGTTGAACACTTTTCTGGAAATGGTTCTTTCCAATAGACCTTTGTTGATGATATAGTCGGAAGAAAATCCAACTCCAAAACTTAAAATCCATAATGTCAAGTAAGGAAGAGACGATAATAGACTATTCTATAAGTGGAATAATTAATAATGTTTTAATTGAGTATAAAAATTATTTACGTTTTTAATATCAAAATGCATCACCGAGTTCATGTACGATGGTATTTGAGTCAATAATGTCCACCATGTGTAATTATTTCCAATCATGGCTAAAAGCAAAGCCCACACTTTTGAAGATGTTAATATGGCCTTCCACGGAGTTGGATGATTCTGAAATAATACCATTAAACAAAACCTATATAGCAAAATTCTTACCCCTTTGTCCATATTGTGCATCAAACTCCTTTCAATGTAAAACTGTTCAGCTTTGCTTATGGAAGGATGTATGGAAGGACTGTCGTGTCCTAAAAGAGCCATTAAAACGCACCAAATGATACCAAGACCTCCATATAGGTAGAATACCATCGGCCAACCATATGGACTAGCTGATATTAGGCCACTTACAAACATTGCTACGATGGTACCGGCAGAACCAGCTACAATAATAATGAAATAATTTTTTTCTAGACGACACACTGGAAGAGGTGTTTTTTAGGTCTACATAATGTCTGACCACCAAAAAAAGACGTTGAGAATAATTCATGTCTTGAAGACAACTATTTGGTACAACCAGGATTAAAAATTAATATTGGCTTACCTATGTATTGGAAAGAGATTCGAAGACGTCTTTAAGACATTTCGTTGAAGACGTCTTTAGAATGTCTTAGTTCTAAACAGGTCTGAAAGACGTTGGGTTTTTTAACATTCGACGTCTTCAAGATGTCTTTAAGACGCCTTAGAGATGTCATTGAGATGTCTACAAGAATTTCCCACATAATTCATTTTTCATTCAATTTAGAAGTTACGGGAATTCATTTATTGAAAAAATTGAAATTGATATATTAATATATTGAAAAATTAAAAAATTAAAAAAAAAAAAAAAATGATATATTTACCACGGTTTTGTTTATGAAACTCTATGGAAAAAGCCACTCAGAAAAATTGAAAAATTGATAAATGCTTAACACGATTTAATCTCAGGAACTCTAAGTGCAAATGAGCTGAAATTTTCAGGGGTCCTTTGAAAGGGATAAAATTCAGTGAAAGTTTCAGTTTTCTATCTATAATAGAAAAAAAGTTATGACCTTTCAAAGTTTTCCAAAATCTAAATCATAAGGTAGGTACCTTCTTACTAAAATGATGAAATTTCAAAATTTTTTTTGTCGAGATTTTGTATCCTAATGGTCAATCAACATCCCCTAAACTCCATACACTAAATTATTCTCAGATTTGAAGCCGAAATCTATGGAAAAAGGCACTCAGAAAAAGTGAAAAATTGATAAATCACTCCAAATTGCTTAACACGGTTTTATCTCAGGAACTATAAGTGTCAATGAGCTGAAATTTTCAGGGATTGTAGTCCTTTGAAAGGGATAAAATTCAGTGAAAGTTTCAGTTTTCTATCTATAATAGAAAAAAATTATGACCTTTCAAAGTTTTCCAAAATCTAAATCATAAGGTAGGTACCTTCTTACTAAAATGATGAAATTTCAATTTTTTTTCTTGTCGAGATTTTGTATCCTAATGGTCAAGCAACATTCTCCAAACTCCATATACTGAATTATTCTCAGATTTGAAGCCAAAATCTATGAAAAAAGGCACTCGGAAAAATTGAAAAATTGATAAATCACCCCAAATTGCTTAACACGATTTTATCTCAGGAACTATAAGTGCAAATAAGCTGAAATTTTCAGGGATTGTAGTCCCTTGATTCATATAAAATTCAGTGAAAGTTTCAGCTCTCTATCTATAATAGAAAAAAAGTTATGACCTTTCAAAGTTTTCCAAAATCTAAATCATAAGGGAGGTACTAAAACGATAAAACTTCAAAATTTTTTTTGTCGAGATTTTGTGTTCTAATAGTCAATCAACATACCCCAAACTCCATACACTAAATTATTCTTAGATTTGAAGCCGAAATCTATGAAAAAAAGCAACCAGAAAAATTGAAAAATTGATAATTATTACCAAAAGCATTTTAGGACATTTCAGAAGTTTGAAACCCATTTTAGATTGGTGTAGGCTCAGAACTTGAGACCTTAAATGAGCATCCAAAACAGTTCAAATCCGAATTTTCAGGAGCATTTTGGAACAATTGAGAAACTTCAGAGTTATTTTAAAATTCAATTTAAAACTGGAAACCTTTCAAAACTATTTTGATCCAATTTAGAACACTTTGGAGCTTTGTGGGCTCTAAAATACTTAAAAACCTGTCAGAACAGTTTAGAAATCACCGAACGAAAAATTAGAACACTTTAGAACATCAATAGGCCATCTAGAACACTTTCCAGCAACATTTTGAAAGGCTTCAGAACAATTTAAAAACCTCAGAGCCTAGCGCCTGGAATAAAAAAAAAATTGTAAATTATTCATACCAGCATAAACTATAGTTGATAAGCGACTTCTTTCCTCAACCGGTACCCATTGGCTCATAAGATGAGTAACAGACGGGTACATAAAACCTTGAGTGAGACCTTGAGCTACTCTAATCAGCATAACGCCTTTCGAACCAAATTGCGCTGCAGCCATAGGAGTAAGGAAGCCTGGAATAATCGATTTTAGTAATAAATTTAATTTAATTTAAATGACTATTCACCTGCAACAGAGTTAACAGCGAATGTAGTTACCAGGAACCATTTGGCACCGAATCTTCTAGCAGCCCATCCGGCGAACACTTGCGGCAACATGTAGCCCCAGAAAAATGCCGAAAGAATTACGTTTTTGTCGTGCCATTCTGGATAAGTCTAAAATAATTTTGTACTAAATTTTTAAGATTTTATGTTAGTATAGGTACCTACCGGTATATTTGGATTAGGGTTAGTGTTAGGGTCAGTCATAGCCACTATGGCTACAGATAGGATGACCCTAAACCCAAAACCAATGAAACAGAGCAGAAAGTAGAGAAAAACTTGTAAGTGGCGATAGCCAATTTTGGGAGCTGAAAGTTGTAAAATCAGTACAAAACAAACAAAAATTGAAATTTTTACCTGGTTCTACACATATTTTGTTTTTCAAAAACCCCTCCAAAAGTTCAGCTGTAATTTTTCCCTCTTTTACCTGCTTCATTATTGTACCATGTCTTACTAAACCTAAATTGCGTAGTAGGTAGGTACGCGTAAATCTATTAGTAAATAGTTCGGTTTATCTTAAGTCCATTGTGTTAATGATGGATGTTTAATTTGGTGTTTTGTCCTATTATTTCTATTTATGATTTGTGTGGAAAATTTTCGGTTATGATGTCTGTTTAATTTATAGTCTAAACAAAGTTAAAATTATCTCTTTTCTTTAAGCCTACTTGATTTTAAATTGGATTAAAAACAAATACTTAGATTGTTAGTGTGAAGCTTGAATCGCTGTCACTCAAATAAAATCTCTGGCGTAAATTGGACATCGATTATGTATACATAATGTAAATATCGTTTACCGCTTTTTCGACATATTTTTTTACATAATCATACATGTAATTAATAAAAATTTGGCGTAATTAGGTGCAGGTGCCTCGCGTGTCTGTGCAAAAGAAGTCCAGGAGAGTGGACGCCAAAGTTTAAATCAATTTCGTCCAATTATAACTTATCACTGAAATATATCTGGGTTTATGTTTTAATGAAAATTCGTTTACCAATAAGTTTCACATTCCTCTTCTATTAGTTTCGATTATTTAATTAATTTGAAACAACTTTCTTTTATTCGCACCTAATTTTTCAAAACATTAAGACGAATGTGTATCAGCCTCCTGAAATATCGTCGGGCAGTCGAAAAAATTTATCATTTCTGGAACGTACACGACTCGTTATCGCACCTACTTTTGCCCCGTACGATTTGTTATTGAAAGAGTAATAATGCGTTTCGCATGCCATTGTCCTACTCGGACAATTAAATTGAAGATAAGAGATGCCATTTAATAACTATCGCGAAAACAACGAGAATGCATTATATACGGTCGAGGAATTTCGGTGTTGATCATTTATTTTAGGCCAGGATGGGTAAGGTTCTCGACACTTCAATGTCACTTAAGAAATTTGGTATTTATAAATCATATAGGTACATTAACCAAAAAGATTATTAATAATTTTCACTCAAAGTTTGTGTGGATTAGATTGCATTTCTAATCTTAGAGTTTGTCAATAATGTCATATGGACTAGGAAGAGCTTCGAGCATTGAATGTTGCTTACACATACTGTGTATTTAAGAGAAGAGTCTGGGGAGCAGGCATACGGAGCTACGAAGGATGCAGAACGATATTCCACACTAAAATGTTGGGTTCGTTTAGGATCGGCTAAAATACGCACACATACGCACTGTTTTTGAAGCAAATGGTCCTATGTTCGATTCTCCTTGAAAGCAATCCTTTTTTTTTTTTTTTCAAGTTTTGTTTTTTCCTAGGGTTTTTATTTTTCTTCTAAAAAATATTAAGAGGACGGGTTAGTTTGTATTAGCTCTAATTTCGTTTAAAATACCAACATACAAAGACTAGCCCTTATCACGAATTACGGTGAGGCTCCGTCTGTCTGTTCCCCAGACTCTTGTACTTAACGATAGCTGTGAAGGGTGGTTAAATTTTCAGAGTTTTTGTTTTTTTCCATAGTTTTGCCATAATTCATATGAGTATGCCAAATTTCAGCCTTCTAGCATGTTTGGAAGTACCTTAGAATTTTGATGATCTATACATGAGTGAGTGACAAAATTGGCGTTTTTTAAAACCTTGTAGCTTTTGTGTTGGTTGATGGAAATCGATGAAATTTAATTTTAGTATTAGGTCTATGAAGATCTACGACTGTGCAAAATTTCAGTTTTCTAGGACACTTCAGAGCTGAGCTACAGGTAGGTCGAAAATGACCTGAAATGTTTCGAGAAAAGGTATACAGTAGTGCGCAAACTTGGCGAGGGGGCACTACCGTGCCCCCAGATTTAGTCCTACGTCCAGTTTTTGAATAATTGTCATCTGATTATTCAGTTTTGTATATTTTCGTATAAATCTTGCGTACCTTTACCTGCTCTAAGTTGCGTACCTATACATATATACCTGATAGTGGGTCAGTTAAGCTAGCCCCCCCTCATAGAAAATTTCTGGATAAAAATTATCCCCTAATTTTGCTCTCATTTTGCTCCACTAATTTCGATTTTTTGTTCCATTACAGTGGAGAGACTATGTGGCCTATTAGGTGGGGGGGGGGGGGGGGCTGAATTAACGCTAGCCCCCCCCCCCCCCCCCCAGTGAAAATTTAGAAATTTGATCATGCTCATTTTGTTCTCCAAGTTTTGCTCCATTTTGCTCCACTAACGGCGAGTTTTCCTCTATATTACCAGAAGAGACCTACAGAGCTCCCAAGAATTTCTCCCAGCCCCCCCCCCCCCCCCAGTGAAAATTCTGAAATTTGATCATGCTCATTTTGTTCTCCGAGTTTTGCTCCATTTTGCTCCACTATCGTCGAGTTTTGCTCCATTACCAGGAGAGACCTACAGAGCTCCCAAGAATCTCTCCCCACCCCTCCCCAGGTGAAAATTCTGAAATTTGATCATGCTCATTTTGTTCTCCGAGTTTTGCTCCATGATAGGCGAGTTTTGCTCCATTACCTGGAATGACCTCTAGGGTCCTTATTCTCGAAACAGAGGAGCAGCGCTTCCATGAGAACGAGTGTTCCGCCTTTGTTGAAGCCCACAGCACGGATCATGACGGACAACGTCTGAAAGGGGAGAGGAAGCCAATGGGACAGGACTCATAGCGACAGATTTTTTGAACCTATCAAATCTATCGAAACCATTGAGATACACTTAAAAAAAGCAGCTCAGGTAATGGAGCAGAACTCGCCGATCGTGGAGCAAAACGGAGCGAAACACGGAGAACAGAATGAATATTGTCGGAACTGGATTATGAGGGGTGTAAATCAAAGCTAGAGCCAAGTACAAAAATAGGAAAGTATATTTAAATAAAGCTTACCACAAATTCATATCTGGCCATGGGCACTAATAATAATTGTCACAAGACTAAAAGGCACTATTACTACTAACTACTATCGCGGATAATTCACTCTCTGTAGACTGATAATTGATCTTCCAAAACTACCTTATTTTATGCTAGTCAAGCAACCATGGTACGTGATTTCTAAATACAATAACTACTAATGACCTGGCGTCGACATTGACCTTCTATGGATTTCAGTTCCATGTCCGTACAAATTAATAATTTAATAATTTGTCTTCCTGTAGTCCATGAACTTTTTGGAAGATGAGTGAGTTTAATTTACCGAAGGGAGATGCCCTATTATCCTAGATACGACAATATGATCAAACAAAATTTTCACTGGTGTGGGAGGGCTAGGAGAGATTCTTAGGAGTTCGTAGTTCATTCCAGGTAATGGAGCAAAACTCGCCGATCATGGAGCAAAATGGAGCAAAACTCGGAGAACAAAATGCGCATATAGAAGCTCCAAAATTTTCACACGTGTTGCAAGGAGAGATTCCTGGGAGCTGTGTAGTTCATTCCAGAGCTCTGTAGGTCTTTCCTGGTAATGGAGCAAAACTCGCCGATAGTGGAGCAAAATGGAGCAAAACTCGGAGAATAAAATGAGCATGGTCAAATTTCTGAATTTTCACTGGGGGGGGGGGGGGGACTAGCGTTAATTCAGCCCCCCCCCCCTTACCTAATAGGCCACATAGTCTCTCCACTGTAATGGAGCAAAAATCGAAATTAGTGGAGCAAAATGAAGCAAAATGAGAGCTTTTGGGATATATGGGGATAATTTTCGGGGATAATACCACGAGAGCTTCAAAATTACCGATAATTTTTCACGATTGCGTGTTTTCTATAATTTCACGAGTCCGTAGGACGAGTGAAATTTGCAAAGAAAACACGCATGAGTGAAAAATTATCTGGTTCATTTTAAAGCTCAAGTGGTATTTAGAGGATTATTTCACGCATGAGAATGCAAAAAATATGGAAATAAATATGTATTAAACGATTTGAACATCTTAACAATCAATACAAATAAATGGTTGCTATCAGGAACCGTTTGTTTGTATCAAAAATTAGCATGACAACCATGTATGCAATAACATGGGAGAATTATCGCTGTAATTCTCTCTAGTTAAACAAATGGAAAAGAGAATTTTCGCTGTAATTCTGAAAATCGTCACTTGTCTTATGGGATTTCTAACATATGAGTGGAATAATCATCCAGAAATTTTCTATGAGGGGGGGCTAACTTAACTGACCCCCTGATAATACAGGTACAGGTATAGGTAGGCATGTAGTCATAGTATTGTTATTATAACAAAGGTAACAAAGTATTGTCAAGATTGTCAAATGACTACCAAATTGTATTAATAGAATAAAGATGATTCAACAAATATAGTCCTATTGATACATGGTGTCAGGTAGACTAAAATTGGGCCCTGGAAAAGAAGTTTTGAGCCCTGGAGAACCACGGATTCGATGTTTAAACCGCCAAACCCCTTAAGCATTCAAGGTAATCTAGCGGATAACTGGAAAAATTTTGAACAAAGATTCGATTTGTTCATGACTGCTACTAAAGACGTTAAAAAGCAAATTGCTGTATTTTTGAGCCTCATTGGCGAGGAAGGATTAGATATATACAACTCGTTCACTTTGACAGACGAGGAAAAAAAGTCCCTAAAGGAAATTAAGAAGAAGTTTATGGAACACTGTGCCCCCCAGAAGAATGTTATTTATGAGAGATCTGTTTTCTATGGTACAAAAAAAGGGCCAAAGTTTTGACAGTTTTGTGACAGACCTCAAAATTGCAGTAAAAACTATGGAGTGCGTTCGAAATCACCCTGAGCGTCACACCGAGTGCACACCAGCCATGAATGTGATGCCCAGGGTGATTTCGAACGCACCCATGGAGTAGTCTGAACCACTAGAAATGGTAAGGGACCACATAGTAATAGGAATTTTTGATAAATCTATACAGGAAAGGCTTCTTTGTGAAAAGGATCTTACTTTGCAGAAATGTATACATTTTTGTAGGGCCACTGAGGCAAGCAGAAGCTTTAGTCAGCGCTGTCAAGAAAAAAAGTTGAGAGGAATAAAGTGCCCAATAGTCTGGAAAGGAAAAAGTGTAATTATTGTGTATGATAATCATAATAAAGGAAAATGCCCTGCTTTTGGGGAATGTAATGGCAAAAATAATTTTGCTAGTGTGTGTCAGAGAAAG